ACACTCAGAAAAGGGTGCGACTAGACTATGGGTGTGACTGGTCCAAACTCAAAGCTGGCACTAACACTAATCAACAAAGGCCCTTCCACGGTAATTTTGGTCAGCTCCTGGAGTTCTTAATCCCTGGATTGTCTGCACATCAACACTTGAAACTAGTTGTAAACATTTGTTATGTGGGTCAAAGTTATGCCACTCCAGGGCAGGATTCTCTCTGAACAGTGTTACCCAGCTTGTTACAATAAGTTGTAGCCACTCTAGGCTACACTTTAGTGTAAACATCCCACCCACCACTTCCTCCCCCGCTTGCCCAGATGAGTCCCACTGCTCCCCAGTGCCCCTCATAATTGACATCACTTTTTTTTGTGATATAATGCACAAAACATGTTTTTATCATGCTTTGCTCAGAGACCTCTGCAGTTTTGTTCTGAAGTGGAACTGTTATTTTGCTCCATCAGATTCAGATAAAATCCTGAATAAAAGAGTAAGACAAGCAATGCATTTAAAATTGAACTGATATTGTGTGTCAATTAATTCTAAATATAATATTTACTGCACTAACGGTTTTGTTCAATTAAAGCTACAACATCCTAAATTAATTTTGCAACATACTATCCCATTAATAAAATGCTTAATACAAAGTAAAGTGGATTAAAACTACATCCTTCCATTTTCAATTTCCAAAAGAAAATTCCATTCCACAGAAAATGTAACTACTGCCTTCATATAATCCCTTTTCATCTTTTTACAAAGATCTTTCTGCTTTCTTTTGCGAGCCATCACTGGTATCACTCAAATACCCTTTAACTGTAAGCTACTTCATTCTTCTCCAAAAACAAAAGAAGTAAAAGAAGAATTTTTATGCGACTACAATAGCTCAGTGAAAGGAAAGGAAGACACTCAGAACTGTAAGCTGCAATGTTTAAAATGTGTTCTAATAAACAAGAAACCACATTAAACGTATTGTCCTGAACTACTGGCTCACTTCAGGTGTTGAGAGACCACGACTTTCCTGATACTCTTAAGACAGCTCTTAAGAAAGAAATGTCCATGCCCTTTTCCACCTGGGATTTGTTTTTCTAACTACTGCAGAAAGTTCTCTCCTGTCCCTCTCACCTATGAATAATTTTGCTGCATGCTTTTTCTGCTACTCAATTCTTTAAGTAGCGAAGCAAAACTGACATACCTGACAACTGCACACTGCAGCATGCAAGGATTTGAACATCTAGGGTAAGACTGACCAGAGTATGTAATTTCACTGTGTTAGGTACTAGCTGGCAAAGCTGCAGAACATGCGTAGAGGCATAGGAGCTGTCTATAAGTAAAGAAACACAGTGTTTTATGTTCAACTGACTTTCAGAATAACTAGAAACTCTAGATTAAAATTTCTGCAAAATATCTGAGAATAGCTTTTGAGCTTGGAAGTCTTACTACTCTTGGCTGATGAACAGATTTGCAAACCTTGATAAAAATTGATCATATCACACAGTAACCTGCCACACTGCTTACAAAAAATCAAGCTGATTTGTACACAGATTACCTATTTTGTCTTCCATTAGTTTGTTCATAGAATAAAATCTCCTCAGAACAGTAATCATGCTTGGAAGGTCCTTAGTAGATGCTACTGTGAATACATATTAAATGCATTTAATAAAATTCATTCCCCTGCAAGCCATAGCAGCACTTGATTGTGGGTTAGGATTAGCTTATTCTGTTCTTCGGTGGTGAGTAGAAGCAAGGTCCACTCTCTACTGAACAGAGAAGGCAGGTGAAGAAACCAAATGCCCAGCGCTGGCTGGCTGGCTAAGTGAAGCAAAGACTCTGAGTAAAAATTCTGTTTCTAATGAAGTAGAGAGAGTTTTGCCGCTGCCTTCAATACAACCAGGATTTCATCTAGAGGTACACCAATACATTGGTCTCATATCAGATTGACACCAATATAGGGAAAATTGAAAGCATCAGAAATCATCTTTTTTTTTGCCTGATGCAGCCGATAATGTGGCTGATAAATGCCCCGTGCATGTACACAGCCGCAACACGCATGGAGCCAGGAGCACAACCCATCAGCTTGGAGACCAGCATCTGGCTGGTAAGTCTGGTGTGGGGGAAGGGGTGGGGGTCGCAGATTGAGTCCCCTAGGGTGAGGGAAGGAGTGGGGCTGAAGCAGGCAGTTCTCAGCTGGGGTGGGGCAGGCACGGGACAGAGCCATGAGTGGCTTGTCCTGGGAGTGCAGGGGCAGCTCCTGCCCTGCACAAACCCCAGGAGGGCATGGGGGGGCATGTGTCCCCGGATCTGCATGCTGGGTAGGCTGGGCCCAGGGCTGCACTGGGCTTTTTCCAGCAGGGGCTGGGCCAGGCTACACTGCTCTCAGGGCACACAGTGGCAGTGCTAGGATGGGGAGTACAGCAAATTTTGGGGTGGCTGCAGCTCCACCCCATAGTCCCGCTCCCAGAGCCACTGCAGCCCACCCTGAGTGCACTGCAGTCTGGCCTAGCCCCTGATGGGAAGAGCCCAGCCAGCCCCGGCCCCAGCCTATCCTGTCCCACACAGATCTAGGGGCACATGCTCATGCCTCCTGGGGTGTGGGCAGGACAGGAGCTGCCCCCCCATAGCACTTGGACAAGCTGTGGCTCCATCCTACGCCCTGTCCTGTCCTGTTTGAGTAGTGCCTGCCCAAGCCTCACTCCCTTCCTCACCACAGGGGCCTTGATCTGCCCCCTCCCCCACACGCCTTTGCCCAGCCCAACGCTGGTTGCCAAGCTGCCCAGCTACATATTGGAATCGGATTGGTATTGGATGATATAGCTTCTTAAAAATCAGCCATTGGCATCAGCCTGAAAAATTTCTATTGGTGCACCTGTAATTTCATCTTTTATCTTCAAGCCAGGATCAGAAGATAGGAATAATTTTCACTGACCATGGACCTAGCACTGAGGATGGAAAGGGTGACATGTTGAATGCTGGGGAAGACCGACTCAGGGTAGCAAACAAACAACTGATAAGGAAGCTGGAAGGATAAAATCCCTCAAATCTAAAGTGGGGGGGGAGGGAGGGAGGGAGTAGAATGTGTGAGCAGCAGAAGAGAGACAACGGAAAAGAAAATCTAGAGGGTTTTACAGTAAATAATATATATACATAACCAGTGTTGCTTATTGGCATGCAGAATGGAAGTAAATACAAATTGACCATTAATGTAAATACTTATGCATATGTACAGCCCTCAGGTTCCTGTCAAGTTGCCAGTTGATGCCCTTGATGCCACAGAGGTTGTGCACTAGTAGACAATTCGTCAACTGACAAATTATGTTTCTGCAGCTAAGTCCCAGTCTCAGATACATGGGCATGTATTGCTTTGAGGCTTGTAGATATCAAGTACTTTGCCTAAGTACACAGAGCACAGTAGTGGAGTTCAGAAGACATGGCAGTATCTTTTTTCAGAAGCATTTTCCAGTATATCAGTAGTAGATTTGCTGTATTTTTCACGTAGAGCTAAACAAGAGCTTCTGTGATTTCCCTACAGCCCATCAGAAAATTCCATTTTCTTCCAACATTCTCAAAAGGAAACACAAATAATTTTTAAAGGCAAAAAATGGTAAACATATAAGCACAGGAAGGTTGGATCTACAAATCTAATAGATGCAGCTTCCATTTTAATTCACTTCAGAATGCTATTATTCCTGTCCCATCTGCAGGTGACGGCAACAACCTGGAGCATGAAAAAACTGCAAACATTGATTTACAGGCAATCAACTCATTTTGTTTTCTGACACGCTATATTTTGTAAGCCTGGGATACTCAAGCATCCTGACACCACCATTAAACTGCAATAACTGATACGAAGTTTCCTTTTCAAATGCTTGGAAAGTATCAACTACAGCAAGAGAGTTCAGATCCATCTGATCAGGTACTCACTGAAAACCTTTCAAAGTATATCCCTGTACAATTTTTAACATCATGCTATAAAAAGTGGTATGATGATACAGTTTACTCTTCCTATTTGCCACTCTTTTAGATAACTGATTAAATATCCTCTCTCTTACGTTTTTACTAGTAAATTCAATTGTACTTCATAACAAATGAAATAAAGGAAATACAGTTTTCCCCTCTCAGATTCATATTCAAATTCTCACCAAAAACAAAAGTGAGTATATCCAAAAGCACTGGATCATGTCATATGAAATATTCTAGTACAACTATTCTCCTTCTACTAGGATGAGCAGTTGTTAAGACTCTGGTAGACAAAGCTGTGCCTGTGATGATCTAGTTGGGGCTGGTCCTGTTTTGAGCAGGGGCTTGAATGAGATGTGACCTCCTGAGGTCCCCTCCCACCCTCGTTTTCTATGATTCTATGAAACACACATTTTTATTGGTGAAAATGTCGTTTTCCAATGATTGTAATTGCCAGTAATATTCATCAAGTCACATTTAGCACAATAGTGACACGTAAAAGATTCTGCACATTTTCGAAGCGAAAGCACGTATTTCATAGACTCATAGATGCTCGGGTCGGAAGGGCCCTCAACAGATCATGGAGTCCGACCCCCTGTCCTGGGCAGGAACAGCCAGATGCCTGTCCAGCCTTCTCTTGAAGACCCCCGAGGTAGGGGAGAGCACCACCGCCCTCAGGAGCCCATTCCAACTTCCCGCCACCCTCCCCGGGGAAGAAAGGGAACAGTATTTGTACTGTTGGCTTTTTAGTTTTTACTCTCATCTCTGAAAGTGAAAAGAAAAAAAAAGAACCCAGCCATTCCCTCTCGGACTTCTGTCTCAAGTCACTGTCAGTCCCCGGGTTTACTCCTGCACCAGGCGGGAGTGCTTCAGGGGCAGCCCCCAGCCCCGGCCTGGGGGCTTCGCGCTCGGAAAGGAGCGGAGCAGCCAACGGGGCAGGGATCTCGGGACCAGCCCCTTCAGCAGCGCCCGGCGGAGCGCGGGGCCGAGGGAGCCCGAGCCCGAAGCTGCTTCCCAGGCCCGCCCCCTTCCCCGCGGGCACGGGCGGCGCTTACCCGCCGACTGGGCGCTGCCGCCTGGCTCCCCGAGCAGGGGCGCGCACAGGCAACTGAGCACGAGCAGGGGCCCGGGGCCGCCG